AATCTATATATATATGATAAGTATAGTTATCTAATATTTTTTAGGCTTAAAAACTATTAATATATATATATATACGGTATATATATACTGTAGTAGTATTAAAATATGATACTTACGGTTGACATCGATGGTTAGCCGGGCACTGATAGGTTTGCTAATATTATTGCCAGCCCTACACGATAGTACACTATTGAACATTATTCTCGATAGCCTATTGATGGCCAGTTCGTTGTATATTTGAATAGTATTATTATTATTATTATTACTAACGGTGCCCTGGCTACTACTACTAGTACTATAGGTGTCATCAATTAGTTCATTATCTCTATACCAGTGCACATATGGTATGGGCCGACCTATTATAGATCAATAGTAAAAAATACAAAAATAAATTATTTATATAAAGTATTTTAATTGTTAATAAAATTAGATATTTTTATTCCTATTTATTGTAATTGTCAATCAATATATCAATCAATAAATAGATTTATATATACAGTATAATCTAGTTATTGAATAGTATGATACAGTGTATGTGTGTGTGTGGGGGGGGTAGGATGGGTATGAACACTTGTTTACCAATGTTAGCCTATTTGACTAATACCTAGCTATTTACTTGTATATTATTATTATTATACAGTAGTATCTAATTGTAGTAATTGTAATAATAAAAGTTTAAATAACATTTTTTAAAAACAAAATTTTAAATATAGTATTTATTAAATAATATCTAATAATTAATATATGATAATAATAATAATAATAATTTCCTAATAAATATATAATTTTTTTATAAAATTAATATCCTATATAACAAAAAKTATCTATTAATTATTTTATTTGAAAATAAAACATTATTACATTTATAATTTATTTTCAAAATTTTATAATCATTTAATAACCAAAAAAAATAACTAAATAATTAATTAATTATTCAAATCATGTAATAGATTAACGCTTGTAATAAAAAGATTATTATAATTATTACATGCAATTAAATGACAATTCAGAAAAATCATAAATAATTTTATTATTAATATTATTAATATATGTATTAAATGTATTTATTTGTTATTTTTTCCCCTAAGTGTTTGACTAATTGTTGATGACATAACAATTGTCATAAATTTTATGATAATTTATGRTATTTAATATATTTGGTAATAATAATAATAATAATGATAATAATTTAACATTCAAATAAACATTAATTTTGTTTCAATTATTAATATCATATTATTATTATTATTATTATTATAAGTATTAGTAATACTAATTTAGTATTCAATGGCTTAATGATAAATATATATATAAATATAGCAATTATAGCAATATATTTATTGTAAATATTTATTAGTTAGTATACTATTATATATATATATTATATGCATCTGTAATAAAATAAAATAAAACAAAATAATAATAAAAATAATAAATAAATAAAATTTATTTTTAATAAATAAAAGTGTAATTTATTTTTTTGGTGATATAATTATTATTCAAAACATTTTCTAATATATTGTTTAAAAAGCTATTTTCAATGTCAGTTAAAAAAAAAGTTTATGACATTTATTATTATAATAATTATTTCATATTATAATATATAATTTAATTTAAATTTTTACTATTTAAGTAAAAATTGTCCAAGGACAAAAATTACTTAAATAATTGCTGTATATATAAGATGTTTTAAAAAACGTTTACTAAAATCTAGTATAATTTTCTGTGAAAAAAATGCAATTCAAATAATTAATATATATATATATATAATCATCAATTATGGTTATAATATTTTAAAAAATTAAAAATATTTTATTATCAAAAAATAAATATATATAATATATCAATGAAGCTAATTGTAGGTTATTATTATTATTAACTATTATTAATCATATATATATATATATATATAATGTTATATCAATAGTATTTATAAATTATATTATTATTATTATTATTATTATTTATTTTTTTGTGTTACAGATATTATCAGTAGTCTATAGTGTAATAGTAGCAGCACTGGTATGTAACCCAGCAAATAGCCAGTATTGGGGAGGAACTGGTGCTAGTGGTGGCTATGGTGGATCTACTGGTGCTGGATATGGATGGGCCGGATCAACACCGGGATCAACAATGGGCAGTTGGAGATATGGGCCCAGCACAGGTAGTTATGGTGGTTATGGACAGGGCTGGCATAACTATGGCCGACAGCAACCCTGGTATGGGTCGAGCAGTCTGAGCGGTATTGGTCAGGGCTTGTATGGCGGTTATGGTGGATATGGCGGTTACGGTAGATATGGTGGTTATCGACAAGGAATGTACGGTTTAGGTGCCACCGGTTTAGGTGGTGTCGGTGCTGCTCAGGGAGGCTATGGTGTTGGTGGCGGATATATACCGGCAGCAGTTTATGGTGGTGGTGGTTTGGGCCGATATTATGGCGGCGGTACTACCGGCACATCTATGTATGGCATCGGATCGGGTATCTATGGTGGCCGTACCA